AGCTCCTCTGCTGGTTCTCTGCTGATTGAAGCTGCTCTGGCCCCAATATGAACGTGGAGGGTAGAAAAAGGAGGAAGAGGAAGGTGGAGGTCCAGGATAATAGTTGCTCCTAGAATAAAGGGCCAGAGGAAGATATGGGTAAAATGGACACCCGAGTAAAGATGGTTGAGGTTAGGCAATGAACCTGAGTAGTTAAGGTAAGAAAGACCTGTGGGTAAGGTGTTAGGACTCAGAATGTACCCGATAATGATGGTAGAAGATGGTTGTACCTGGATCATTGTTTATATAAGGAATTAACATTTATAGTTAAAATCTATAATAAAGGTAACAGATTAGGGTTAGGGTCTTTACGTGGACCTACAGCGCCCTCTACCTGTAGACAGGTGAGTTAGAAACAACCTGAAGACCGGCAGCAGAGGGTACTGGCTCATCTCAGACTCTGTCCTTCCAGGAAAAGATGTTCCACTTTTGGGTCAACACTTTCTTCATCCCGGGGCCGGAGGAGAACCCCGACAAACTGGAGAACGGCAGCGCTGGGACGCCGCGGGAACCGGCCGACAGGACGCAGCAGAGCCTGGTGACGATGACGGGAGGAGATGGCAACGACAGAGACTACCTGGTTCTGACCCTGACCAAGACTGACCTGGACAAGGCCAACAAAGACAAAGCCAACAGGAACTTCTCCCCGAACTTCAAGGTAGAACGTCACGACCCTAATGCCCCGTCCCTGCACTAATGCCCCGTCCCTGTACTAATGCCCCGTCCCTGTACTAATGCCCCCCGTCCCTGTACTAATGCCCCCGTCCCTGCACTAATGTTTTTATTGTGTCCCTCAGGTAAAACTGTTTTTTACCAAGACGGTAGAGGAAGGAGCGAACTGTGACGCAAGCAGCACGTCGGCCTCGGTGACACCAGACGTCAGCGATAACGAACCGGATCACTACCGCTACTCGGATACGACAGACTCAGACCCGGAGAACGAGCCGTTCGAAGAGGACCATCACAATCAGATCACAAAAGTGTGACACACACACTCTCACACACTCAGATATATACGTGTGTGTGTGTGTGTGTGTGTGTGTACACACAGTATGTATGTATACACACTCATAAACCCCCAGACGGAGACTAGCGCGTTAGCTAACAGGGGAATATAACCGACGGACCAGAACTGATCAATGGGACTTAAAGAGCTCATGTCAGTATATAAGCTCCTCCCCTCCAATCTTCTGCTCAGCTGGACAATCACAGGAAGTGGCGGCCGGAGGCGAGGAGGGCGGGGATAAATGTGTGGGCGGGGCCGGGTCAAATGGACAATAAGACAGATGAATGGACAGACAGAAGGTTTAAAGAATAAAGGAGTAAAACTTGAATATAAACAAACTGAAATACAAGTAGACTTCTTTAGACATGTTTGTTGGATAAATCCCCACAATCCTTCCTTCCTGACCCGTAAGAACTTTATGCAGACCAATCTTCATTTCCATCGCTTCAGTCTTCAGTTGTGACGCTGGTGGACTCTTCTCTCTGTGTGCTCACGGCCAAATGTACAAACGGTTCTGAAGCTAAATTAGTCTGAACGTTTTTATTGGTGCAACTTCTAGTGCTCCCGAATAGTGAATCCAGACCCTCTCTCTATCTCCCCCTGGTGGCTGACTGCAGTATAGACTCTCTTTGTTCTCAACCAAAGAACTGAGCCCTCTAAACTTCTTTTAAGAATCTTTCTCCTAGATATGAGACATGTTTGAACCAAGCTGGACCAGTCTCAGTGCTGGTCTTTACCAAATGTGGACCAGTTACAGGTGGTCTGGACTGGTTTTGAGGCAAAGCAGCACACAGAGAGAAGAGATGGCCTGTTTGAATGTGATGAAGGATACGAGAAACTTCTTTTATTCACAATCTGCTGCAGTTCTGTCAATCATCTACTGTTGAAACAACACAAACAGTTCAAACTTACTGTGAACAATGCTACTGTCTGTCTCTATGTCTGTCTACAGTTTTGCACAGAAGGATTCTCTTCAATCAGCTCCTACAGTTACAGTTTCCATTATATCAAACTTTAAACAAGCTGCGCGCAGTGTAACTATTCCTTCAGCCAGTCAGTTAACTCAAACTACGACTCCAGAGCGCTTGGTTTTGATGTGCCTGGGATGCCAGGTGGGTGGGGTTTTATACAGAACTGCTCACTGATGGCTTTGTACTCGGTCCATCCAGAGAACATTTGGTTCCTTTTATAAAGCTACCGTTGGAGGTTTTAGCTCAACCTGGAGATCAGAATATTGAACACAGATAAAGTGAGGGTTGATATGAACGACCAGTCTGCTCCTGACTCATATTTTATTGGATCATCTGCCAGAGGATGTTAAGAAACTGCGTTCCACCAATGTGCTAGAAGATTGTTTGAGCAAACAGGTGCTGGTCAGTCCTTCCAGGAAGTTGCGACGTTGTGATCTTAATTACAGAGTTCCCACATGTCCTGGAAAACCTGGAAATTTGTTTCCCAGTCATGGAAACACCTGGAAATAATATCTGTTGTTTCCTCACTCAGTTGACCTTCTTAAACCTGGGTTAGAGGAAAACTAGTAAACTAGTCAAATCACCAGAGACACTGCAGAGAAATTGGTAGTGAGAACAGGTGGAAGGGAGCTAACGCAGAGTGTCCCATAAATATTGACCACATACCTTTTAATGAGTCACCACACTCAATTCCTTGTTTATAGTTTGAAGATGCAGACATGTGACACGGACGTCTCACATTGACCCTGAACAAGTTTTTCATGAATTATACAAAAAGATTGCAACTATTTGTGCAACTTCTACGTTCTCCTGCAATTTTATTGCAAAAAAAGCCAAAAAACATCAGAAAATGCATCACAGTTAATTAGAAACTGCCGTGAAATTTTAGGCCTGCGAGATCCTGGAGGGACGGATGGGTTTCCTGAGGTTCGACCTTTGTGTGTCTTTGGTTTCTGACATTTCAGAAACAGTGATGTTCTACAACTATTACTCTGATTATTAATCATTTTACTCATCGCTACCATTTCTCGGAGACATTTAAGCACTTGCTAACTGTACCTTTACCAACACTTTTAGGATCACATTAGCATTACAGGTTCAAGACTCCTCCGTCTGGATCTTACAGAAGATACTGAACGTTAGGGATGCTCCTGTTTGTGTTTTTACATCGTAGGTTTAATTGGAGTCATTCTAGTGAACCTGTTCAGTTCCTGTTCTCTGTTCTCTGACTGAATGCTGGTCCATAGAAGATCATTCCAAACCTTTTTCTTAATGTAAACAGAGTTTATTGCTTAGATGCTTTCTGATTGGTCGGTGTTCTACTGCAAAAACGTACCACGAAGTTGGAAGTACTGTTTGAAGTTTAGAGATCGGAGAGGAGATTTTAATTGAATAGCAGTGAATTTGTTCAGATTGGAGCATCCCTAATGTTTATCTAAACCTCCAGATTGGGTGTGGGCAGAAGTCTGATTTCCGTCCTAACGTCGGTGCTACTACCATCATTAGCTCTGTGTTGGTCCAGTAGTTATTGAGTGTATGGCGGGATTAAGACTCGGGATTGGGTCTTGAGGTTCCCGTTGTCAAGCCTGTAGGCCTGATTACACAGGACGTTCTCTGAAGGCTTGGAAACACGAAACTGCTTTTATTCTGAGAAGCTTCAACTTTTATCTGATTGGAAAGTAAAGAAGTTGCCTCACTTTCTCACAGCGAGGTGTACCAGCCAAATAAATATCCTGGTTCCAGACGGATGAATGAAACTGATGATAATTTTCCTGGTTGGAAAAACAATTGAGGCAATCAGAGATTTGTAGGTGGATTAGAAATGGGAATGTTATCTTCCTGCCAGAACAGTCAAATCTCAACAAAAAACACAACTAAATGAGCCAAGAAACAAAATGGACATTGGGATTTTCAAAAATAATCCTCAACTCCTTGAAGTCACTGGCACAAGTAGAAGAAAGTACGTCCTGTGTGATCACATCTTTAGCATGTTAACAGCTAGCCATGGTTGAGCCTACAGTTCCTCTTGTTGGGTTTAAGGTGCTAAGCTAAGCTAGCCAGGGCTGATGCTGAGTCTGTTCATCTGTGGCGCTCTCCAGCAGCCTTGAGTGTGGTCAGCATGGCGATCTGTCCACAGGCTGTTTGCATTTTACACACCTCCTGTCCTGAGTCGTGTTAGGTGCTGTCAGGCCTGGTCTCACTTCCTGTCATCAACCCGTTCAGATGTGACTGGTGTCACCTCATTCAGTGGAGCAACGAGTTCACCCAGGAAACAAACAGCTGTGGACTGCTGTGTGTCAGACAAGCTGATTGGTTGAGAAAACTTCCTGTCGGGAGGCGGGTTCAAACCCAGAAATAAAGGCTTAAAGATTCTTGTTTGTAAAAGTCTAAGAAAGCAAAAAGCTTTTTGTTCCTCCTGATGAAGCTGGCGGTATGCTCCATGTACTGGTTTGCACTGACCGGGTTTCAGGTGTCTGAGTCCAGGCCGGTGCTGTCCACGTCTCCAACTGTTTCAGGTGCTCAATATCTTCTTCTTTTAACCATTTTGTAGTTGTAGGTCGCAGTTCAACTGCGTCAGATCCATCAGAAATCCTTTGTAAGAACCAGTCGATTCAAACGTTTGTACCCTAAACTATTCAATGTTTTTAAACAGAGTTCAGGGTTCCTGCACCGAACGGGGGTGTTACAGTAATGTTAGCTTTGACTTTGGACTCGTTAGCGGACTCCATTTCAACAGCACAACAAGAACATTTGTTCTTCATTCTGGGATCGTCCAGTTTCTCTCTCTCTCTGTTTTTCTGCCACCAACTGCAGGGACATAACTCTAACATCTACTGAAGTGGTCTATAGCTGCCCTATCAGGTCCGGCAGAATTGAATCTCCGGTACCGCCGGTACTGTAGAAAACACGTCACATATTCAGAACTAAATCAACTTGGTATCAGTTCTCGTGACATCCCTAGATATTACCACGACCTCCGCACAGGAAACGGAAACCTGTTGATTTAAAAACCTGAAGTTGAGTTTGAACGTTTGAATCTGTAAAGGAACCTTCAACAATCAGCAGTTTTACACACAGAAGAATAAACTCGAAGCTTCTTTAACTCTGTTTACATCTCATCACCAAACCTGCCAAATGAAGCTCCGACTGACGTTTGTTTGTTGGTTTGTTTGGAGTTGACGCAGTAAACATGTCCTTTTTTCTGTTTGCCTTAAGGGGCGGTCACATTAACCTTCATTCAACCTAAATAATGGAGTCTACAGGTGAACTCACCTGAGAGTCCGCTGGAGGTCTTTAGTTTGTTGTTGTGGCTTTCGGACTGAGGTGTCATATGAGCGTAACTTTACTAGAAACCAACAACAGTTTTCTGCTCTGAGTCGGTTCCACCTGTCCTCACCTGTTCTTACCTGTCGCTCTCTGTAACACCTGTCCTTACCTGTCCAGGTGACTGAGCCCCGCCCCTCGGTTACTGTTGCTAACCTGTCTACAGTGATGGCGGCAGTGTCATCGCCCATCAGAGCAGATTATTTTTGTTTGTTTCAGTGTTTCTGTTCATGATGATGATTTTCGTGTTTTTATTTGTCAGGTATTGATTTTGTATCAGTCAGGAAGCTCAGCAGAACTCTGGCCTGTATCACCACGGATCAATACTTCATGTTAAACTGACCCTGCTCCTCCCGCACTTCTTTTATTCTTTCCCTCCTCCTTTTATAATTAAATAAAAACACTGTAAAGTGAATAAACTATTTATAAACATCTGTCCTCATCTGGCTTCAATTATTTTACTACAACTCCCATGAGTCTTAGAGTCTGTTCAGACACTGCAGCCTGCAAAATGTGGTTCTTTCTGACATAGATTAGCCTAGCATATAGCATATCTAAGTACAGTAAAGCAGGAAGTTGACTGAGGCTTGCTCAACTGTGATTGGAGCACAGAGCAAAGGGGGCGTGGCTTAGTGAGGATGAATTCATCCTGAGGGGAACATGAATGTCTGAACTGCATTTCATCACAATCCATCAATTATTTGCTGAGATATTTCAGTGTGACCTAAAAACATAAACATAAAAATATATTTTTTTTATATATATATATTTATATATATATATATATTTTTATATATATATATTT